AAAGAGCATAAAATAAAACGTATCCCAATAAATTTTTAAAATCGTACATCATATAGGTTTTAATCTGATTTAAACGTCGTCTGATTTCGGCAACATCCTACTTTAACAGGATGTAAAATTTGTAATACAATCTTATGGCATACGTCTTACAGTCTCTTGAACAATGTTGTAACTGTGGGAAAGACTTGCAAACATGAGGTCAAATTAGCTCAGGGTTACAAGCATAAGTTATGCGAAATGGATTTTCATTAGGGGATTCTGAATTAATGACAATAGGTTATCAAAGAATATATTATTTATCTATTTAGTTATTTGGTCAGAGCAAAAAAGAATAATCATTCTTTATTAGTTTAGTCGTTGTATTTATATTTTTCAAATTCTAGTGGTCTGAGTTGGGTCTCAAACCGATATCGGTATTCCTGGACCAAAATCTATGATCTCAGACCAATATCGGTGGTCCTGGACCAAAATCTATAGTCTTGAACCAAGATTCGTGGTCTCAAACCAAGCACAGCAATACCATATTAATAGCACTGACAAATATAGTAAAGAATGCTAATACAATATAGAAAATATAACGAAGAAAATTTAAGCACAAAAATTTTCGTAACAGTATCTAGTATTTTCATGCATGTTATTGGATCTTTTCTAATACAAAAAATTTCACTCGTTTATGAAGATGAGGATGAGTAAAGCTGATGTATCACCTATCAGAAGTAACTCGACATGTAAAAAATAGCTAGATGTTTACATTAGTTCTCCGAGAACACTGATAAAATTTTAAGAACATAAGTATTAAAAAATGTTTTCTATGTGAAAACATCAAATAGATTTTTATTGATATTATACAAATTTAATTTTTCTATATTGAGAACGTTAAAAAATTTTTAAGAACATAAAATCAAAATCAAATCTCACACACTAGGGCTGAGTCTAGGCTGAGTCTGTCTGTCCGCCCATGTGACCAATCATATAAGTGATTGAACAATTTTTTTTAATTCGCTCCGGAGCGGTAAGAAATCAATGCAAACTAAGGTCAGTAGCAAAATTTTTACAGCGTCTTATGATACTATAGAAATCGCAACAATCCCAATGAAACCTAACTTAACCTTTAATATATACTTTGCAATAGTGAACAAGTTTAGTATTAGCGACTTTTAACAGAAATCACAATAATTATAATATGGCCTAACTCAACCTTAACTACATACTGGTATTACTGGATGGTGAGTAGGCTTTGTAACAGATTTTTTTTTTAGTAACTCACAATAAGAATTACAATAATTTCTATGTAGACTAAACCTTTAACTGGAATTTTTTTATAGCAACTCACATTAAAAATCATGATAATCCCATTCATAAAAAATGTTGGTTAGAATTTGCAGTAAACCATAAAAGTTGAATTTACGAAGACTGGGCCAAGGTAATTTGGTCTGATGAGTCAAAGTTCAAGATTTTTGGGTCGGATGGCAAGCAATATTATTGGAAGCATCCCGGTGAACCTTTAAATGACTTCCATGTTAAGCCTACAATGCAACCAACTCAACCTTAATCACATCTGTGTTACTGGAATTATCATCGTCTTACTACTTTTTTAACTCTACTTTAATGCCGGAATAGCAAATAAGGTTAGTAGTAAAATTTTATAGATAGAAATCGCAGTAATTCCAATGCAAATTAACTTAACCATTGCAATAACGAATAGGTTCAGTATTGGAATTTTATAGCAACTTTCTCAACAGAAATCACGATAATTCCAACATAGACCAACTCAACCTTAACTATATACTGGTATTACTGGAGTGATGAGTAAGTTTTGTAACAGAATTTTTTACAGCAATTCACAACAGGAATCACGATAATTCTAATGCAACTAACTCACATCTGTATTACCAGAGTAGTAAGATGTTAAAAATCATGATTACCGAAAATAGCAAGTAAGATCAGTAGCAAATTTTTTACAATAGAAATTTCAATAATTCCAATGCAAACTAACTTAACCTTTAACAAATACATTGCAGTAGCGAACAAGTTCAGTATTGGAATTTTACAGCAACTTTTCAACAGAAATCTCGATAATTTCAATGCAGACTAACACAACCTTAACTACATACTGGTGGGTAAGTTTTGTAACAGAATTTTTTTTAATAACTCATGATAGGAATTTCAATAATCTCAATGTAGACTAACTCAATCTTTAACTATATACTTCATACTAGAATGTTTTATAGCAACTCACGATAGGAATCACAATAATTCCAATGCAACCACCTCACCGGAGTATTATGTTGAAAATCATGATAATTCCAATGCAAACTAACTCTACTTTAACCACGTACAGTGTATTGCCGGAATAGCAAGTAAGTTCAGTAGTAAAATTTTTACTGTGATTTACAATAGAAATTTCAATAGTTCCAATGCAAACTAACTTAATATTTAACATATACATTGTAATAGTGAATAACAATTTTCGACAGAAATCATGATAATTTCATCGTAGATTAACTCAATCTCAACTACATACTGGTATTACTAGAATGGTGAGTAAGTTTTGTAACAGAATTTTTTTTAGTAATTCACGACAATAATTTCAATGTAGACTAACTCAACATACTTTGTACTGTAAATTTTTTACTGCAACTCACGATAGGAATCACGATAATTCCAATGCAACCAACTCAACCTTAACCTCATCTGTTACCGGAGTAATAAGACGATAAAAATCATGATGATTCTAATGCAAGCTAACTCAACCTTAACCACATGTTGTGTAGGTTTGTAGAAATAACATTTTCTTGAAGAGTGATCTCCTTTATTTTGGGATCCTCTTTTTAGTTAAAATGAGAAATGTAGCTCTACATTCTTTGATTTTCTTTAATATATCCAATAAAGACAGTACATGTATATGTATAGTGATATTGCTTAAAATTGTTATTTGGTTTTACTAGACCGAAAATTATATAAAAATTGACAAAAACCTAATATAATTAATTTTGTTAATCCCGGAACTTAGTTTATTGTAAAATTTGGTAAAGTATATGTTATTACAATAAGTTAAAAGAAAAATTAAAAAATTAAAAAATAATAATGTATATAACGTTAATAATAAAAAATAAATTAAAAAATTTTTTAAAAATAATTTAATGTTTACACTGGTTTAACGTTAATTTAAAAAAAAAATAATTTTAGAACAATAATTTAATTTAATAAAAAAACAACAATAATTTAATAAAAAATATAATGATAATTTAATTAAATATTTAATTTAAAAAAAAACTAACAATTATTTATAATAATAATAACTTATTTTAAAAAATATATATATATCTTAGATAATTTAATCTGTTATCGGGCATTTAATCCTTTTATTCATATATTCTAAAAATTTATTTTCGTCAAACTGATAGCAAGTAAGTTATACGTTGATCTATGATTATTTGATCCTTACGTAATCTTATCAAAAATATTCTACCCAGAGTCTCATACTCAGGGTATAGAAGTATCTACTAACTTTTCTATTAATTCGCGCTTTTCGGACTCCTTCGTTTCTATAATTTCTCGTTTTTCCATTTCTTTCTCTTCAATCAATTGCCTTGCGAGAGCTAGCTTTTCAGCTTCTATTCGTCGTATCAGGTTCTGTTTTTCTCGTTCTTTCCTTTGTAACAAATCGAATTTTTCCTTTTCCTTCTTCTCAACTAAAGCTATGATCTCGGTTTTTGAAAACCTGCATTCGTCACTAATTAATATGATAAAAAATTGGTACGTATTTATGTAGATTTTAGTGACAAATAGCGGCCTTCAAAATTGCGGGTCATATACACGTAATTATAATTATAATTATGGTGGTGGTATAAAGAGAATTTAATATGATTAAAGAAAATTATTTAAAGTGCCGTGATTAGTTATTGGTTCTAGGTAGAGTTTGGAACCGATTTTATTTTTATTATGCTAAAACTGATTTAAAAGGGTTTAACTTATGAAAAAGAAACCGGGTCCAACTCTAAATATCGATATTATGCTATGCGAATTATTATGCAAAATGGCCTAAATTATGCAACTTTATAATGCGTATCGGTATGCAGTACAGGTCAAATTATACGCATAGTATATATATACATATTATGTCGCATCATAATCTTGTCCGAATGCATTTTTTCCGAATAATAACGTTATTTTCAAAAGTTTTTGCCAGATAATTTTTCAGTTATCCAGATATCCCGATATCGGATAAACTATAAGTACTTTCATGGCATTATATCATCGTAAAAATAGTAGGAGTATGTCTCCATAACGGCTCCTCTTATTGAGAGGAAGAAATGTGGTAATCTCATTTGAAAACTAACGTTTTAACCATTATTTGATGTTCGACAAACAAAGTGTCATACTTTATAAAAAACAATTATAATAAAATGTATTCACAATTCAATATTCATTTGCCTAATGCACTCTGTAAACTTTCAAGAACTTCGACTTCAACCCTTGCGATGTTCCTTTCTTCTTCTGAAGATCCGGATGTTACAGCTCGTTGTGCCTCCGCTAAATTTGTCCTGATTGCCTTTTACAAGTTTTGGTAATAAAAAAAAACAAATATTACAATTATTTATAAAAAAAGAAAAACGATCTCAACGAAAAACTATTAGAGTTTTAAATACCTCAGGTGAAAATTCTTCCAAAGGAAAGGCTTCTACGGCGTTAATATCAAGCGAGGAGTTGGGATTGATTATAGCAAATCCACCACTAACTAAATACATATTATAATCATTTGTCCTATAATATTAAGTCTACCCATAACGAATATTTCTATACTTTTACTTGATGGGGCAAACAATCAAGCATAAATTAAAACTTAGTTCATTAATGTTACTCACCAAAAAATTTTTTCGTAGTATTGGCATTTTCAATTACTTCAACAACACCTGGTTTCAATTGTTCGATTGAAGGTACATGACTAGCCAAAATACCCATATCACCAGAAGTCGCTGCAATATTAACTTGTTGAACTTCTACGCCTTTGTAAATGCTCTACAATAAAGAATTCGTTAATATCTCTTTCGAATTATTCAAATAAAAAGATTCTATACTATAAAGCGAGCTTATAAAACAATATATTCAGCATCACGAAAAACCAATACACATTATCAGATATTCATCCAGAATTACCTGGTGGGGAAGCACAAAGCTTAATCGTAATCCAGACGTGCTACCCGATGCCTCGGTGGCATACCAACGAGCTGCAAACATAAATTCGCAGTTGCAAAAATGCTAAAAGGTTGGCGAATGCTTTATAACAAACACTTTGAAATATCTTGATAGTCTAAATTAAAGGGTGCAATAAATGCAATAGAGTTACCTGGAGCACGGGCCTTTATATTGAAGGCGGTTCTGGCAACTTTAGTAAATAAACTCATAATAGCGATAACGACTTTGAAAATTTAAAATTTTTTTTTTTATCGATAGCAATGTGACCTTACATCTTGTATCACCTAAAAATTTTTAGCTTATCATTTTACAAACATACATTACAATACAGACATTCGTACGATTGGCAGTTCAATTTAATTTTACATTAATTATACAGTTTAAAAGTACTTTTCAAAAAAAACAAAACTACTACGAATAAACAAAAAAGAAGGATATAGAAAGCTTTATTAGCGTTGTAGGACTCCACTATTAAAATAACCAAAATTCTTTTTTTGGTTTTAGAGAAATTAGCATGTGATAACTTAATTTTATGAAGTCGCCATTATGCTAACTTCTCAAACAAAAAAGAATTTTGAATATTTTTAATAGTGGAGTCCTACAACGCTAATATATCCTTCTTTTTTGTTTATTCGTAGTAGTTTTGTTTTTTTTTGAAAAGTGCTTCAAACTGTATAAATAATGTAAAATTAAATTGAACTGCCAATCATACGAATGTCTGCCTATGAGTGTCACGGGTGCCCCTGTAAAAATATATAGATAGATAGATATTTAATTTAATTTACCATTATTCATAAAACATGAGTTTATTTTTTTGTCTTAACAATAAATGAATAAATAAATAATAAATATATTTTAACGAGAAGAAATAATCGGTAAAAAGAGAATAATAAATATATTTTTAACGCGAAGAATAATCGTTAAAAAGAGAATATAAAAAGAGAATACAATAATAAACTTTAATATCTATTACAGTATATTATGACTGAATTCTGGAAGTGTATGCAAAAATTACAGATAGTCTTAATTAAAATACTGTTAACCATATAGGATAACTTTCTTCTGATTGGTCAATCACTTACAATTGTATTTATACAGTTTAAAGTACTTTTTAAGAA